TAAATTTTTATAAAATTTTCGCGGGGCCCGATCTGGAGAATTGTCCTGGGGCCCGGTCAGGCTCTCGGCGGCTGACAAGACAAGTTATATACGTGATATTATAGACGAGATGGTCTCAGATGTTTCTCGAAACAATACAACATTTAAATTACCTGATATGCGAAATATTTTATGTATAAAATCTAATTGAGATTTTATTATTTACTATTATTGTTTATATGCTTTCAATAAAAGTAATTACAATTCGTAAAACAAAAATGCGCGTCAACCAAATTGAAAATAGTTTGGAATTTAAATAGCCAGGACTAGTAAACTTAACTGAATATTTCATCATCTATTTTAAATAGTTTAATATTATATCTAGTCGTTTAATTTTTTCCAAGTCTAATCTTTAATAGTATTTAATTTCGATTAATTTCGATAATCTATATAGCAAGACTATTGAATTTTTCCTTGTTAAGAAATAAAAATATATTTATTATAGTGAAATTTAAACATAAAATGTATTTAGTCAGTTTGCATTTTTCCTAAACAATATATTTATAAACCATAAATGTATGTATGCCATTTAAAAATTCCTCATTAGCACCGTGTGATGTCATATTCTAAATTTAATACTTAATTAACAATTTTTTTTATACATAAAACAATGATAATGTCAGCATATAATGACATGCCAGGACGTCACTGGTTTAAGTGTATGGCACACAATTTCTTAAGGCCGATTCCACCGTTGTTTTAAACGAAGTGTATTTTTTTTAATGTTTTTAAATTTTGACTGCACCCGAAGATGGAAATAAAGTTTTCCGAAACATATATAGTATAAAATAAAATTTATGACCGATTACACCAAAGAAATTTTTATTTATATAAAATTCTGCTACTGTCTGGAAATTATCCTTATCCAAAATTATAAAAAAAACTTCACTACGGTAGAACAGAACCAAAACTAATGAAATCACTGATTCTACCCAGCTTGTCGAAAGGATAACAATGTAGTTGATGTAGATACATCAATAAATTCTACATTTAAGAGAAATAAGAGGAAAAGTAAATCTGGTGAAGATTGTGGTACTAATTAATTAGTTTAGGAGGTTGATTTCGGTTTTTTATAGCAATTTGACCACTAAATGAAAAAAGTCAAGAACCACTTATTCCAGTGGGAGAAAAAGATAAACGAATTTAACGTTAGAAGGTTAGAACATTTAAAAAAAATCGTATTAATTAATTAGTAGTGGGTCAATTTTACATATCTAGTAATTTTTTAATTGCGATTTCAATTGAGGAACTAACTATTCCTCTTATCATTTTCTCTGTCTGTAATTATCTGCTGATTAGTGGGTATTAAATAGATTGTGTCTACTTAGGTAAAAGCATTTCTTTTGTAAAAACATTAATATCAGATGAACTTAGAAGAAGAAAAACTTTTCACCTGACTTCAAAGCCAAATATCACAGTTGTTTTTCTTAAGAATATAGAATTACAATTCTGATAAGCATAGCTCTGTGAAAAATAATCTGAAAATTTAGTCAAACGAGGAAAATACAGCTACTCTTACTTGGGTCCCGGGACAAATGCAGATAGTCTCGCAAGGAAAAAAATTCAAATACCCTTTTTGAAAGTCGTTCTGCGTTATCAGCAGTAAACTATTATTAGGAGAGATTAAAAAAGAATTTGACATTAGAAGAACCGATCAATGGAACAATCTCTTGGGGCTAAGATATTTCTAGGTGAATATAACCAGAAAAAATCGGAAGCCTGTATGTACCTGAGATGAGGATCATTATTGGGCATTGCCAACTCAAAGACCATCTTGGTAAACGGAGAGTATTAGAAGATTCTGTAAGAGGAGGACGCATCCATTCTAATTCTGACTGTAAGTGTAGCACTCCAGAATCCAAGAATGCTACCTGAAGAGGAAGATTTATCTAACTTAAACCACTCCAAATCCTACACTTCCTTGAGAAGATAAATTTGGAAGGCATCAAGACATTTACTTGCTGCATTAGCGACAGAAGAGGACAAAATAGATCTTTTAGTTCGCAGTGTATTAACACCCCATTTAAAACATAACATCTGTTATAGTTGAAGGGTTTGTAATAATTATGTCTAGCGGTATCCTTCAGGTGTAAAAAATAGTTTGGGGATCACCCAAGCCCAAAGAACACTATACAAACGGCCAGCCTCGACTAAATCAGTTGTAGGTATAACAACAAAGATAACCAAACATAAATCAATCCAACAGAGGAATTAGTTACAGCCAGAGAGAAAAATGAAAGATATAACGAAGAGGTATGTAACCCAGTGTACTCGACGTAACGTTCAAACAATTTCAGATAGTTTTAGTGGTGTTGCGTAAGGCTAGGGTCTACTCAATGAGACCCATACTTGTAAAAAAGACCTAATGGCTAACCCAATGCATCCTAATCAACTTAGATGATGAATTCAGGACGTCTCAAGAGAGTAGCAAGTACATCATCGAATTACCGTTGAAAACTTATGATTGAATTGTTTGTATATTATTTTATTTGAAACATATAAGTATTATTTTGTTACTTTTAACATTAGCCAAGCTTTTAACCAAGTTTAGTGTACAAAATTCCTTTAAACTTACTACCACGATGGATTTATTAATAAATGGGTTGGGTTAAAAGTTTCTTTGTTTTTCAAGATCATTGCAAGAGTACCTAAATAAAGGCCCAATATTATTTCTGTATTACATTGCAAATAGAAATAGAATTTATTCATCTTTGAGAATTATACACTATACAAAGACACTAGGTACATAATGTAAAATCCTGTCAAACTAGTCAAAAAAGTGTTCAGTAAAATACATTAAAAATTAAAATAAAATATATATAATAGACAATTCATGTTAAGATTAGTTTAAAAGTTCAAAAAATCTTCTATACTAATAAATACATTATTTACAAGAAAATCATTAAGATGTTTTTTTAAATCATTACGACTAATTTGATGATAACCTATAGTATCTTCTAATATGTTACTGAACTTATTGTAACACTTAATCCCAATATATTTTGGTGAATGCTGGCTTATTTGTAGTCGTGAAAAAGGTTGATGGATGTTAAATTTTAATCTAGTATATGAGTGCAGGTCTTTATTTTTCTTAAATATATGCTCATTATCTTTTATGTATAAAATTAGTTGAAAAATAAAAAGGGAAGGTAGTATTAAAATTTGCGTTTTCTTGAAAAGTTATTTACATGATGTTGTTGGTGTCACCTTATACATGGCTCTCAGAACCTTCTTTTGAGATACAAAAGCTCTTTTAAAGTGTGGAGAAGAACCCCAAAATATTAACCCATATTGTAGAGTTGAATGAACCAAACCAATATAGCATAGTTTTAAAGTATCAAAAGATAGTGTCTCCCTTAAATTTTTGATGATATAACAACAAGTACTTAATTTTAAAGTTACCATTTTTATATGAGCTTCCCAATTTAATTTGGGATCTAATAGTATTCCTAAAAATTTTATGTCTTTAACGCTTTGAATAGTTTTTCCGTCAATGTGCAAGTAGGGTTCGTAATCTGATAATATGTTTTTGGGTAGAAATTGCATGAATTTTGTTTTTGTTATATTTAATGCCAGACCGTTATTTTTACAATACTGGTTAAAGTCACGAGATGCCTCGTTGCTACTTTGAGTGACATGTTCAATTTGATCATCTGCCATTACAATATTGGTATCATCGGCTTATTGAACTATTTGTTGAGAGCTTAAACAAAAATTACTTATATCACTTATAAAAATTATAAAAAGAAGTGGGCCCAAAATTGAACCTTGGGGAACTCCTACTGTACATGGAAGAGGATCAGATTTTAGACTGTTTGTTACAATTACTTGAATTCGATTTATTAAGTAAGACTGTAGCCATTCGTAAGGTTTCCCTCGTATTCCTAACCCATTCATCTTCAATAATAAAAGATTATGATCCACCATATCAGATGGACGGCTAAGGTCATAGAAGAGTCCCAAAATATGTTTTTTATCATTGAGTGCTTGATATATAAACTATAGGCAAGCTGCAATTGCAGTAGATGTTGACTTATTTTTTCTAAATCCATTTTGAGTATCTGGTAACATATTAAAACTTTCAAGGTAATTAGTGAGTCTAATAAAGTATGCTGACTCAAATATTTTAGTTATTTGACTAGATATACAGATTAAACGATAATTTTCTATATTAGATGCAGATCCTTTATTTTTATAAACAGGAATACCTTTAGATTCCTTCATATTTAGGAATAATCCCGAAACAAAGGATTCATTAATCAAATGTGATATGGGTTCAGCAATACAATGAGCAACCGATAACAGAATTTTTACCATTTATTTCGTCAATATCTTCAGTGGGTTTAGAAGTAGTTTTTTTGATTATAGTGATGATGTCACTAGGAGTTGTTGGAAAAAGAAAAAAAACTTTTATGATGTTTATCAATACTCATAGTATGGTTAGGTACAATATTATTTTTATTTACATTAATAAAATAGTGATTGATATAATTTACTTTTTCTAAGGGTGTTAATTTGTCATCATTTGTAAGTTTAATAGGATTCAATAAGTTGTTTTTTCTTTTTCCCCTACTCTCGTTTATTATATTCCAGGATTCTTTCATTACGTTATTACTTTTTAAAATACGATCATTATTTTTTCTTCTCAAATATTGTTTTGTTATTTTTTGATACTCTTTTTTTAAAATATTGTAACGTTCTCTATAATATGTAGATAGAACCCCTTATAACTCAAATCTATGCCTGTCGTAAAATATACATATTATTTAGGTTTAACCACCTTACTATAAACTACCTCAACTCTCATCTCTTTATAACTGTTTTTAATCCAGGACATTTGACGTACTTCTTTATCACTCCTGTGTGTTTTAATTTACGTATTTTACATGTAATAAAAAAAAGGAACGAGACTGCACTGATTTCTACCTTAACTATGATTTTTTATATACTATTCAACTTACATATAGCCAGTCCAAAGACAACAGTGTAGGCAAACTGGTATTCTGTTGACATAGAAAGACCACTTAGTATTGTAGCCAGTCCACCAACTGTTAATGCAATATTAATAATAGTAAGTGCATTTGTCCTAGGAAGAGAACTTATCAATCCATATACAACTCTTCCAATCGTATTTGCTATACCAATAGTGGAAACCAGCCATACAGCTGTCATCTTACTGTAACCTTCGTGTCTTGCTCTATCTACTAAAAACATATAAGGAACGAAGAATCCCATCATAGTAAAGAATCCTCCAATAGCTAGAACAATAAATGATGGTGATTTGAACAGACTAAGATCCAACATGGTAGCCAAAGCTCTTCTAAATGCCTCGGGACAGATTTTACATTGCCTCGTAGTTTCTTCTTCTATATCATTCTTTGTAGGTGCCCGAGTAACTGATAAGTTATATGCTACAGAGGTTTTTGACATATATTGAGGAAGACGTGCTAAGCTCCCAGTGAAAAATATATCATCTCTGTAAAGCGGTCTAACTATTTCATGGCTATTTTCAAATCGCGCTCTTTTGAACTTGTGCAGTTGCGAAAGTTGCAACTTTCCTTCAGTCTTACTTCTCTCTCTAATCCAGGACATCTTGTTTTCCACAGAAGCCCGGGATGTAATGTTGCCGTTCGGAACACAAATGGTGTGATAAACGTCTGATACTCTCGGATAAACAGAATTATTGTTTACTCCTAATAATCTTGGAATGGATGATTGGTGATCTATTGATCCTATACTGTCTCTTTTTAGCATTTTCATGGCCGCTTCCATTTTTATTTGAGCAGCCAACGGCACTTTGTACGCAGTTTCTTCTTCTGCATCTGGAGCGTCTACTTTGACTGATTTTAATGGTCTGTAACGAAATAAAATAATCATTATTTAATGTATTTTTATTTGAAAACTATTGCAACAAGCAACAAAACACGTTAATTAATGTGTGAACAAATCAGATGAAAAACAGATCTATTTTTTAGACTATGCAGCCCCAAAAGATAGTTTTTCAACCCCTGAAACTGACTGAGCGATCTGTGTAGGGGAAGAGACGTATTATTATTATTATTATTACTATTTGCCGTGGCATTCCGGGGCGACTTGAAGATGATTGATGGTGCCATTTGACTTACAGGTGAACAAAACTTCACCCACCATCAACGAAACGGTAACGCATTGCGATTTTTATAATCTGGATGTCATATCAACAAAAAATAAATATCCATCAAATCCTATAGAAAACCATGTAAATAAATTCAAACGCAACAAATATCCGCAATGACTTGGTCTTTATTTGAAAATTTCTGTTAATCAGCTTTGACTTACACTGATAAGTTCCTTAGGGATTTTAGAAATATCGTGGAACAGTCAAATTGGTTTTAAAACTAAAACTTTAAATTAATGGTTGGAAATATACATTCTATTTTGTAGTTTATAAAAGAGATTTGAATTAAACCAAACAGTACAATAAATACCTAACTTTTATATTTTTTGTATGTAAACATGAATGAACATGAAGTGGGAACTTATATTATTTTTGTCATACCTTGTAGAACCATTTTCGTTGTAATGTGGTTTACCGAATATCACAAAATGCTGCAATAATAAACCTATAGTGTTTTTACTTTCGTTTTCTATTTTCAATTAATAAAAATTAGAACAAGGTAAAATATATTTTAAGAGGGATTAATTTATTGAAGGTTAGGATCCTATCTATTCTAAAATAACTGATTTATTAAATCAAAATAAACAAAAATAACAGTTAATTCTCAATTTTTTAGTTAAAATGAGAAAGACGTACGATGATTTCTTACCTGTATAATGATCCATAAATGACACAACTTAAGACTAACGCTGCATGGCATAATAAGGCATACCTCCATCCAAATTTGTTTATTAAAATTTCAGTCATTGGAGCATAAACGAAAGTGCCTATTCCGGATCCACACACCGCTATTCCAGTCGCTAGACCTCTCCATCGTTCAAAATAAAATCCTAAGATAATAATAGACGGTGCGTAAATAAAACCAAAGCCAATACCTGAAAGAAAGAACATTTTGTTATGGCGAGAGTTTAATTATTGTAATTTTAGTTCCAAATTAATTAGAAAATGATAAAACACACTATCAGTAATAAAGTGACATAGCTTAAAATATGCATGTTTAAACTTTTAATCGTAAGACGGCGCAAAATGGCGCCCTTCATGTGTGGAGCTTTTTAAATGATGGGCTACTCCAACTCTAAGACATACTGCTTTGGAGTAACACATCCATTTAAAAAGTTCTAAATATGAAGGACGCCATTTTGGAAAGTTTTACGATTAAAAGTTTAAACATGCAAATTTGAGTTATACCACTTTATTACTAAATGTGCGTGTAAATAATATTCACAGCAATTCGTTTGTATAGCTTCTTTACCGATTATTTTAGTTCACACATTCGTTGATAGATCGAAGAACAATCTAGTCGATTTGTATTTACAGGCACTAACTTTTTTCAAATAAAACAAACAGGCGTTCCGTTTAAAACCGTCATAGTTCCGTGAAATAGATCACGAAAAAAATACTAATTGATGTGTTTTTGCATTATTTACAAAATTTAGTTACTTTACATAGAGATTTTATGATTTTTGTGCGTTTTTTTTATAATACACTGCCAATTTATGAAAAATTTATAGGTACGCATTTTTTTTTAATAATATTTTGTATTCGATATGAAATATTTAAATGTAATTCATTATTCATGATTTCACGCATTGCAGATAGAATACATCGTATGTCTTAACCCCTTAAATATATCAACCCTTTCCACCGACAATTCTTTTGTTTAGAATGCCTAAATATAAGTATTAAGCTGCGTAAAGACCGCGCCAACGAAGAGACTTCGTTGGCGCGGTATAAACGGTTTAGCGAATACTATAAAGTATCTCTTGTCTTCATAGCGAATACTAACGAAGGTTCGCTGGCGTTTGCCGACCAGCTCAATCGTAGTGGTAGCGAATACCAACAAAAGTTCGCTGGCGTTTGCCGACCAGCTGAATCGTAGCGGTAACATCCACTTTAGTTTTTGAGCAGTGTATTCACTTATTTCAGTTCGTAGAATGTATACTAAAAATTTAGTTTGTTTAAAGTAAATATGATTTACTTTTTCGCAACATTTTGTGTAGGTACTTAGGACAGTGATGATACATGTCAAATCGAAGGACACGATAGAAGTGCTTTATATATGTTTTCAAATTTAACTAAAAAACTTCTATGTAGGATTTAGGTATAATAATTATGTTAACAATATTTCTAAGACACATATCGGAGTATTTAGTCTTATGGGAAGTGTCCTATCTCTCGCGTGTGAATAATCTACTGTCAAATATGTAAAACGCATAATTTCTATTTTGATCTATATGTAATAATTTTTTTTCTTTGGTGTACGGCTTCAACATCTAAGGTCATTAGCTTAGTGTTCTATGTAGGTTATGGATTGTACTAATAGTCTAATACTCCATAGTGCAGGAGTATTAGTACTCTAATACCCCTATACCCCTACAAACATGTTACTGTTTCCTTGCGCCACTTTAGGAATAGCGCTGTTAATTAGAACCCAACAGTGAATGGTCGCGACAATATGGCAACGCAATTCTAATTCCCGATAGGCTTATGCCTCGTGCGACAATATTTTTCACAATCAATTCGATTTTACTATTAATATATAAATATGAACATTACATAGAGCAAAATTTTTTTGACAGCTGATGCGAAAAGTAGATTCACATTCGCACACTGGCAAAAAGTAGATTTTTATCCATATGCGTGTGCTATCCCCCTTTCCATAAGACTAAATAGTGCGATACGTGTCACTTTCGTAAGTGGTCGTAGGAAAAATAATTATGCGTGTCTGGAAATTACACAGAAAGATTACTTAAATCAGTAAGTAAGTAAAATATAGTCTTTAACCAACTAAATATAGTTTTTTCTTCGATAATTCAAAATCACATTTTTGTTTTAAACACTTTATGATTAGAATGCCCGTATTTATGTGAATTTAAACCTTAATTTTTCTAGTTATTTTTTATATTTAAAATCAAGTCCGATATGTCATATTTTATTTTAGTTCAAAAGCAGGTGCTTATTCAAATTATTACATTGTAATATAAAATTACACGATTTAATGCACCATTTACTTTGCAATACAAAACAATGAATAATTACTACAAGGATATCCTTTTCTTAAAAGGAATTTGGTCCGGACATTTCTGTCGGCACTCGATGGAATATTATTTGAAGGTTGACCTTTAGATAAAAAAAATATATGATGAAATATACGATTTCTTTTCCCGGAAACAATGACTGTCATATCATAACAGCAATCTTAAAAAAATGACGTATCTTTCTCGATACAAAAGGTATCCTGTTAATACCGTTGCGCAGGTTAAAACCCTTACAATTTGTAAAAAAAGTAGGTAGAAATATGATAAATTTGTACCTGCACTTCATTTTCGTCTTCCTCCTTTATTTTCGTTTTATACACAATTAATAATACATTTTTCTTAAATTTTCTTAGACTGTATATTCAAAATAAAGTGATTCCTTACAATATATGCATCCGTATTGTATTATTCTAAAGCCCCGTTCACTGTCTAATATTAAAGGCAGTTTCATAATAATTATGAGTATAAAAATTTAAGATCAAGCTGTAAAATAATGTCAAAATAATGTTATACCAATCAAATTGGGGATTGATCAGATATTAGCTCTTCAACATCTTCTACCTTTATAAAAATTTTTGCAATATTTATGGAAATTAAAAATTTCATGATGCCTGATATTTTTATTTGTATTGCTTGGCCAATATGTAGATCTTCCCATGGAGTGCCACATACATTTCTGATCTTTGATAGCCTTTAGTCGTAGTAAGACTTGAACCCCAGCAGACATTTTTGCGTTAAAATCAGATCATATACGTGTTTTTAATTACATTGATTAGATCTTTCGGGTTTTCGCGTTAAAATCAGATCATATATATGTTTTTAATTATATTGATTAGATCTTCCGGTTCTTCTTTCATATTTCTTTCTTGTTCTACTGTCAAAAGTTGTTTATATTTTAAAATAAACTTACTAGTATTTTGTATTGTTTTTTCTTAAACAATATTTACCAAAATCATTTTCTAAAATAAAAATATAGAAAATTGGACCTTTAATAGGAAAATATACAGCCTGCTTGGTATTTAGACACTGTACATAAAACTGATACATTTTAATTTTTGAGCAGTGTATATATTAATACTAATAACCGCTAAAATATTTATATTTTCGCTTATCTCATGATACTATTGTAACTTATGGTGTATCACCTTGTATTTGACTTATCCTGAATAAACAACTATATTTCCCACTAACTGTAAATATTTGTAAGAATTATTTCTACACTACCGGTAATATTATTATTATTTTTATGTTGTAATCAATGGTTGACCAAAGTAGACCCGACATTTTAAACTTGTGTGGTCATTGTGGTCGTAATCGAATTACGTATGACTTATAAAATAATATAAACTGTTGTTGTTTTAAGAAACTTTGATAAGAATGTGCGAACAACGCTTAAAAACGATAATTATTCGTTTTTGGAATGTATTTGCGTAGACAAAAAAATCACTCTGCAATGGCTGTTATTGTTTATAACAATAAAAGTAAATAGGTCCCTTTATCGTCTAGAAATTAAGCACAATCGTATTTTTTCTACTCCTATTTGATAATACGACAAATAAAAAATTATTGCAACAAATGCAAAATAATATGGAAAATATGCAAAAACAAATGAATATCTTAAGCAAAGAAAAATCTAAATTTCTAACGAATTATGAGACTGATGAAGAAGAACTGGCAAGAGAAATCGACGATAAAATTAACAAAACAATAGAAGAATAAAACGAAAAACCAACTCTCCTCCAGAAACTCCTGGCCAACCTAGGGGTAGCAAAGATCTACAAAAAATCGAAAAAACTAGTCGAAAAAACAGTGATAATAGCAGAAAAAGCAAACTAAGAAAGAAATAGCAGATGACAAGATCACCAGAAGATAAAAATATAGGGCCACCCAAAGACTGAGAAGAGAAATCTTTAATCCCAAAGGTTTCATAAACAATCACTCGACAATAGATCATTACAGGATAGCCGATATCATCGAAAAAGTACACGAAGAAAAATGTTTATGCTCAGCTATGTTTCTTGACGTAGCCCAAGCATTTGACAAGGTTTGGCACGCTGGCTTGATACAGAAACCTAAAAAAAATTCCCTACAGTCTGTTCGCTATACTTACGCGGGTTTCGAATTAAAAATTTTATTAAGGTCACATGTTCCTTGTCGGCCCTCATTCGATAAATGGTATCACGAATTTCAAATTTCTTTCCATCTGGAATATCTTTCGTTTTCAATGATGGACGCGTTGTTGTACAGACATTACCGATTTTAAAGGACCGCCATCTTCTTTTTCATCCGTATAATACTTATGTACACTACAAATTAGACTATCTACATCTAACACACGTCTAGGCATTTTTAAAATTTCCACTAAATTTACAATATACATACAATGTCAACACTTGCAAAGAATCAATTCAACTGCAATATTGGTAACAAATTTAGTACCTACCCTAATGTTATTTTAATTTAAATCTGACCATTAGGGCAAGTTTACCTAATTTCTTGGGAAGCGGCTTATTGGAATTCGTTGTCAATGACTAATTTGCATAATTTTGTTAATCCGAAACCCGCGTAAGTATAGCGAACAGACTGTATATGTTCAGCTATGTTTCTTGACGTAGCCCAAGCATTTGACAAGGTTTGGCACGCTGGCCTGATACAGAAACTTAAAAAAAACTCCCTAGATAATAATGTCGACATTCTTTAATCATATCTAACGATAAGAATGTTTAGAGTCAAACAAGAGGAGGCATACTTCGAAATGAAAGAAATTAAAGCAGGTATCCCACAAGGCAATGTGCTAGGACTGGTTCTTTACTTATTATACATTAGCGATATTCCTCAACAACAATGTTTTAAAATATGGCACTGCAATATTGGCAGAGACCTCAAAAAAAAAACTGCAGGAAACCTGCAACAGAATCAATCAATGGACAAAAAGTGACAAATAAAAATAATAAATTAAAGCAAATTAGTGCATGCCAGCAAGAATCGACCTTTTTTGCATTTTCGGAAAAAATGTTAAAAACGGTACGGGGCCTCAGTAATTAAAAAGTGAATCAAACAAATTTTTATTATTTTTACTTCCCATTCTACACAATTTTTTAGTTTATTTATTTAAACAATCGAAGGGTCCATATCTACTAAGCTCTATTGGAAAAATTACTTTTTTTATGTTAATAATAATGAATGTGATTCTTACACCCACATAATATTATTACAATAATGTAAAACAAGTTCATGGACCATGAGAATGGCAATTAAAATATTTATAAATTAGCTATACCTGATTTCCATAGTAGTAACTCAATATTGCTTAGCATAATATACAATAACAAAATTTTATTTTGGTATAAAAATAGATGACTGAACTTATACCAATCCTTGGTCTAATTTTAGTACGGGTTATTCGAATTAGATAATTTTAGCTGGCATTAGTTTACATGTTATCCAATAAATGAAATTACAGTAACTCTAGTAACGGATATGATAAGATTTTAAAACATAATAAATCATAATTCTAGGAATATAGAGAATTCTTTTTATTTATATTTATTATTATACCTATTTCAACACTTTTAATGCCACATGTCGCCTTCTGACATACTTCGCTTCTGAAAATATTTATTTATTTATTGTTTTACACGTTACATGGCACTTAATGACTGTAGTTTTTTTTTATCCCAGATTGTATGATAAAAATAATACAAATTAGTCCTTTTCAATTATTATACCTTTGTTTTATTATTTGTTTTTAAAACTTTAGTAGTTGGTTGACCAAAATATGAACTGCAATTGATAGATTTCATTTTTTTTGCAGTGTTTTCACTTCCTAGAATGGATATGAAATATATTCGTTCAGTTGAACGCAATAGCATACTTTTTCGTTTTGTAGCCTGTGGATAAGCTAGAAAAATACAATTTAAAGCTAATTTTAAATATATATTGTTAATAATGATACATTTTAATCCAAAAAAAAATTCAGTGTATTTAAATTGACTTGTAAATGTTTAATGTTATTTACACATTTTACGCTTTGACTCTCAACATATATCGTTTTAAATAGTCATTTATTACACTCATCTTTTTGTCCTCTTTCTAAACTTATATTCGTGAAATAATATAAAACATTCTGTAATCAAGGGCGGCACCAAGACGAATTTTCGGGGGCGTGGGGGGGGGCATTGCCTTTAGCCATTCCCTTTTTAGCATATTTTTTTTTAATAAAAGGCTTATAAAGTATAAGAATTTTCATCTCGGGAGGAGTATGGCCCCCATAGCCCACTCTCTGGAACCGCCCTTGTCTGTATTTTTTCGAGGAATAAAAAATGAATGATTACCCTGTATATACTAATAACATAGCATGTAACGCCACTGTAGTTTTCCAATTATTCGAAGAACTGGTAATGTAATGATTAAAACTGAAACCAGTTATGCAATAATTGTATGCAAATGTATTTTATTTGCATAAAATATAAAACTCAGATCAGTAATTTTATTAAATCCTAAACTAACTTCTTTATTTAATAAAAGACTGGAAATTAAGTCCATACTAGACATTAAGTAAATGGATATAAATACGTCAGTTACATAGAAAAGCAAATTAAGAAATTATAGACCAGGAAAAAATAAATTCTGGTTTTGACGAATTCATAAAATTCAAAATGTCAGATATGGCGTGAGGAGTTGCTATTTTTTAATAAACAATAAATAAAATGAACCTACCTCCTAAAACTCCATACGTTACGCATAAGAACGGAACACTTGTGGCAAAACTGGAAATGGCAAAAGCAGCGGCACTAAAGACTGCACCAAATAAAGTGACCAATCTAAATCCATATCTGTTCGCTATGGCACTTACAAATGGCCCAGCGATTAAATAAAATCCCGACATTAACGACCCTACGAGGGTCACTTCCGCTTTGGTCACGTCAAACTCGTCAGAAATTTGTTCTAGGAACGTACCGAAGGAAAATATTGTACCATCCACGATTAAGTTACACATAAAGGAAGATAATACTACAACCCATCCCCAACCTCCGTCTGGTGGTATCACTATTTCTGGTTGACTAGATATTTTTTCGGTTAGAGGATTCGTCTCATCATCTATCCCGGATTCAGCAACTTTCTCGATACTGTCACATGTACAACTGCTTTTAGTTTCGTCCGCTTCTGGAATGATTTTTTCATATCCTGCAGTATATTTTTCTGGCGTGTCCGTTTTTGATAATGGCATTTCACTAGATCTGTAAAAAAAAAAGAAAATAAATTACTTACAAAGTATTATACATAATAAAAATACAAATAATATAAAAAAAGACTTTGGATTTAGCTATAATAGCAATGATCTTGATGATGGTGTTAATAATATAACATAAAACTAGTCAATTCAAAATAATTCATTGCTCATATTAAATGAAATAAAAATGTTACAGTTGCAGACAAAACAGTTCTCAAAGAAGATAAAATGAATACCTTTGCCCTACCTACCTACCCAACTAGTAACGAAAATTAGTAAAATTTAAAACTGTCAGAATATCTGACATAAATCTTAACCAGCCTCTTCAAAAAAAAAAAAAAATGTTCTTTGATAATAAAGAAATATGGCAGAGACACTATATTTAGCGAAGTCGGAAGACCTTCTATGGGAACTTTTTACCCTGGTCAAGTAAACTACAAACCCTGCTGTATTGAATTTGATATTATTAGAATTAAATTTCTAGAGGAAGCATTGTCTTCTTGAATGAAAGGTAAACATTGTAGAGGCGCTCGAAGGAAAGAAGTCGGTCCAAATAATGTCCTCCATACGTCTTTTGTTAACAGCCTAGATAAGGACACAAGGAATTATTAGCTAAGATTATTAATCCCATAAAACTATCCCCGTTTGTTGACTTCAAAATTAAATCTTGAAATTGAAAGCTTGCTAAACTCCATAGAAAAGAGAAAAGATCCTGTGGTAACAGGTTTTTAAGATATAGATGTAGCTATTTTGAGATAAGCCATAGGAAATCGAAGTCAAAGTCTTCCAGGTACAAGATGAAGTATAATCCGAGAGAGAAATACATAAAGAAAAGAAGGAAGGGGAGATATTAATCGAAAGGAACATCAGGAACATACAACGCTAGGGACTTGCGAAGAACACAGGGCAGGAAATTGAAGAGGAAATATAGAGGAACTCTTTGTAATGTACAAAACACCATGCACTTAGTAGTACTTCCTTACAAACTTTTTCACGTTGGATTTAAACAAAGTACATTCTGTTTTCATTAGTACCCGTCACGGGTCTACCGTAGTTGCCATGAAACCATTAGAAATGCACAAGTTTTACTGTTTTCATATGCTTCTAAATTACGTGAACAGTTAGTGGCATATGAAAAACTTTTCTATTATTAATATTAAGTAAAAAAAATTATTCTTCATAAAAAGTCGAGCATGGTCTAAAACCTAAAATACAACCATCAGATAACAAATTTTATTAGTCGTATTCCAGCATAGATCCTTAAGGTGTAACGCATATGTTTGGTTCCTTACTTTAAAGACTGTTAACACCGACAAACTGAGTTTTATTATTTGAATAAATTGTAACCCATGCTCGCGCTATATATCTTAACACCTATTTTTTTAAAGTATGTAGTTCACTGTATCGAACGCCTTTCATAGGTCAAGAGATACTAGGTTGATACTCTTACATGTTTTTCTATCAATTTGAGGAATATATTAGAGAATATTACCTTCTTTAATGATTTAATGAAATATAAATTCATTTATTTGAATTTTGAATCACAGTAACGATTAACGATATCGTCCGTCTCTATGTTTTCTATGAGTTGATGTTGACATTTAGATCTTTAAGGTTTCACAGGTTCGTACATTTTAAAGATGCTTAGTTAATTTTGTTACAGTATCAACATGATAGGAATATAATGAGCTTTAGTACTACAGTATGTTCGCTATACTTACGCGGGTTTCGGATAAAAATTTTATGAGTATTTCCAGGTAAGTACCCGAAAGTTTGGCCTGTTCTTTGGGGAAATATCAACTGGTTAAATGAAATGAAAAATAATGTACAACTTTTTAATTAAATAATAATGGAGAATCTTTTGTATAATTGAGAGCAGAATTAAACTTCTTCATTAATGGAGTCTAATGTGGCTATTATAAACCTAATAATAATTTTATATTACACTTCACACAGAAAATATGGTCTATGTATAATAAGAGGGTTATTTAGCTCAAATAAAATATTTTCTAACATAAAAATTTGTTCCATGTAGAGAATTTCAAATAAAAAATAAAAAAAATTGAACTTGCCAACAAAAATGAAAATCAGTCATTATCATCTAAAATAGCATAATCGTCATCATCATCACTGTCATCACCATTAATTGTTATTATGATTGGACTTATTTCGTTTATTTTATTTACGCAAGTCCACCAATCTTCTATTAGTTTCTCGCACTTGGATATACAGTTCCGCCACACTTCTGGAATTGCAACTGAAAGTGCTTTTCGCCAAGTTTCCCGAACTGCGTCGTCACTACTGGCAATGATACGGTGGCAGACGTAAAACTTGATGGCCGTAACTTTCAATAATCTGATCCATAACGAAGGTTTTTGGTTTTGAGTGTATATTTTCCGAGCGTAATAATTCTGATTTTAACATATATTGAGGAAATGGTATATGTTCCTTTGTCAACCATTCTTTAATTTTATCAACAGTCCAAGAATTTGTTGGACTTTTGTTTAATACTTCAGAATGGTAAGGTGCATTGTCTAAAATAATTACGCTGGGCTCACTTGAACCTGGGAGAAGTTTTTCATGCAACCATTTTACAAACATTTCTGTGTTCATATTATCGTGATAGTCACTGGACTTTGATTTAGATGAAAATATTGAATCAGCACCTTCTATAAAACCCGATTTCCCTCCTGCATGTAAAATTATGTGTCGCTTCCCTTCTTCATTGGTATGTTTGATGGACTTTACGTTATCATCTTGCCATATTCTCTTGGTTGCACCCCTAGAAAATATCCATGTTTCGTGTAAATATATAAAATTCGCCCCTTCTTCTTTAAATTTAGAATATTTTCTTAGAAAGTTAATTCTCTTGTGCACGACAGAACTTCTTTCACAAAAGGCCTTTCTGTTATCCTTCTTTTGAAATTTGAAACCCAAGTTATGTATCACTTGCCATAGACTTGTTCTGCCAATGTCGTTAAATTTTCTATCTATTAATTCCGAGAGAATTGTATTTAAGGTCTCATGTTCCTTGTTGGCCCTTATTCGATAAATGGTATCACGAATTTCAAATTTCTTTCCATCTGGAATATCTTTCGTTTTCAATGATAGACGAGTTTTGCGGTGATCTTCTTTCGGCAGTTCACTATTGTGGTTTTGTAATACTCCTCTTAATTTGGTTTCACTAATTCCTAGAGCATCGCATACGCTTTGTTGTACAGACATTACTGATTTTAAAGGACCGCCATTTTCTTTTTCATCCGTAAAATACTTATGTACACTACAAATTAGACTATCTACATCTAACACACGTCTGGGCATTTTTAAAATTTTCACTAAATTTACAATATAAATACAATGTCAACACTTGCAAATAATCAATTTAATTGCAATATTTGTAACAAATCTAGTACCTACCCTAATGTTATTTTAATTTAAATCTGACCATTAGATCAATTTTACCTAATTTTTGGGAAGAGGCTTATTGGAACTGGTTGTCAATGACTAATTTGCATAATTTTGTTAATCCGAAACCCGCGTAAGTATAGCGAACAGACTTTTTTTTTGTACCTACTGCGAAGCGTTTTTTTTATGAAAGATACATAAGCGCCGTTAAAAAAATTTCCAGGGGGGTTAGTCTTATAGGCAGGGTCAAACCGCCGTAAACTTACAGTCGAAAACCTTGGCGAAAAATAAAAAAATCACTAATAAAGGGGGGCAGACACCCCCCTTGCTCTTGTGTGGTGGCGTCCATGCCTAGATAGGAATATATTGTGCTATAAATCGTTGATGCTTTGAAGTTGCGCTTCTTCTTTTATAATGTATATTTATTATTGTCCAAAAATTGAATATTTTGTTAATAAGGGCAACAGACTTTGTAAATAATAGTAGTATATTGCACACTACACATGAATTTTAGATCTTGTAATTGTCCTAGTGTACAAAACTTGTTCTTAAATAAATTGTGGCATCATTAAAAAATAGGAGGATGTTAATTTGAAATAGAAAACCTTTATTTTATTACCACCAATTACTCCATACAAATTATTCCTTTGTTTATAAAAACCATAATGTTGCCTATGGGCGCTTTTACAGTCAAACATTATTCCATAATTATTGAATGTTCTGAAAACAAACGAAATTTTACAGAAAACGTTTTTATGATAAACTTCTAACGGGAGCACATAAGAATTTTAGATAAATTCAACGTAAACAAAATACAAACTTAACCACTTTTAACGTTTTGACAACTATGACAGCGTTTACACAGCTTGTAAGTCTGTGGTTTAGTTTTAAAGGAAAAATTCACACGTTATATCATCTGGTGTTAGTACAGTATCAAGGATATATTTTAAATGGAATTATGTAAATAATTATTAATCAGAAACCGTGTGTTTAGAATATTTAGCATTTCTGCTAAAAAAGATAGCGAATCTATAGAGTTTTTCTTATAAACATCTTAATTTTTAATTTATGTTGATGATTCGCTTATGAGCAAAAATTCCAAACGTTTATTTAATTGAATCCCCATGTAAAATAATCTTTTTTTTTAAATACGTCATTTCCTGATAAATAATAATGTAACAGCTTTATTTGTTGTTATAGGCAACATTAATATAAATAATAATTGATAGTATTGGGACACGGAAATTATTACAAGCCGCATTTTGTAAAAATAATAATATTTTAATAATATGTAATATGAACGTTATATTTAAGATAACAAAGAACATACATATTACACAGAACGTTATAATAATTTAAAAAAAGAGTATCAAAAAATAACAAAACAATATTTGAGAAGAAAAAATAATGATCGTATTTTAAAAAGTAATAACGTAATGAAAGAATCCTGGAATATAATAAACGAGAGTAGGGGAAAAAGAAAAAACAACTTATTGAATCATATTAAACTTACAAATGATGACAAATTAACACCCTTAGAAAAAGTAAATTATATCAATGACTATTTTATTAATGTAAATAAAAATAATATTGTACCTAACT